TTGAGCAATTTGAGCACTTTTTAAAAACACACTTAGGCATTGTTTTATCATATAAACACAAAATATTAGCAATATTTCTTTTTGGCGTTCACATGTACGTCGTTTGCATGTCAAGTTGTGACTAAAGCGATTAGGGTCGTGGACCACAATTCATGCGGATCACTTTTGTGAGGCTAGTGCCGTTTCTTCCTTTTTTGTTTTAATCTAAGATGGGAAACGGACCCGTGGTCCGGTGATTTTCAGGTCGTATTGGTTAGGAAACACTGCCGGTGAAAATGTATTCCTGAGTTTTGTCGTACATGGCAAAAAAATCGGAAAAGTTGCACGATTGTGGATTAAGATGCACTAAGATGATGGGGATGAAATTTTAAGTAGCGATAGCAAAAACCAGCAGCTAGTATTAATTAAAACAATTCCTCTGGACACTCGCAGTGACAAATGGGATAGAAGATGCAGAGCGCAGCTATATATCTACGCAAAGCCAAAGGATTCAGCTTTTCGGAAACGTTCTGGTCGTCGACAATTCGTGCCGCTTAGCGCTGGATGCGATCCAGAGGGAGAAGCTGGTGCTGGGGTGTCCCCGCGCAAAGATGAGAACAGTACTCCTTGTGAGGCCGAACCTGTGCTTTATAAAGTTGCAGTCGGTGGGCCGGTGTAAAGTACGTCCTCGATCAATTGAGCACACAAGCTTCTTGGAGACTAATTTGGCCTTGCCCTCCAGATGAACTCTGAACTGGATGTCGCTCGATATGTCAGCGCCAAGAATACCGATACTAGCTGAGGTAGTAAGGGGAGTATTCTCAAAAAGTGGGGATATGACAATTGGTATTTTTTTGCGGTAAACGCGCAAATCTGTGTCTTCGTGGGGTTAAATTGGAGTAGATTAAGACTTAGCAAAGTCTCAACTTCCGACACAAGTTTGTTCCGGCTCTCGATTACGTTTTCCCGTAAATATTGGCGCGGCCGGATTATATAATGCATTTCCTGTGCTGTCATCCGCATAGCAATGAATGCCATCAATTTAAAGCTTATCAATGATACGCAGAAGAAACAGCGTAGGCGATAACACACAGCCTTGTGGGACACCCGGATATTAATGTAACAGAATAATGGTGTCGATTCTGGCACGATTCTCTAAATCTAAACGTAAATTTGACAACAGTGTTTCCTTGTCATTCTCTAAACAGAATGAAAAAGAGAGATTGATGCTAAAAGTTTTAAGTTTAGAGAATCACCCCAGAATCGACACCAATACCTACCTATTACACTATATTAATTGGCTTTATTAAGTATTTGGTGACATAGCGATATATATTTAATTAACTTCTACAAAAAACCTGTTTGGTCAGTAAGTACATCTCGATATAGCACCCACAGTGGTGGATTAACTTAGTAGTAAAAGTAGCAAATACTACAGGCCCCGCGCACCAATGCTTTATGACCATATAAAAGTCTCCTTTTAGATCGAATGTAAAAAATAAAAAATAAAACCACGCGTGCTGATATTCAAACTAAAGGCCAAATTCAGTATAAGTAAATATATATGTCGTGGGATAATTTGATAAACCGAATTTTTGCGTAAATCCTAGGGATTTTGGGAAACACGTGTCGCCTCAAGATGTAAGATTGTGAAAAGAATAGTTGGCTTATTATGATTTCTGATTGGCTGGTCAGTGTGCCCAAAACTACATCTTTTCTGATTGGTAGACGACTTGACATTTTAAATGTCAATCCATCCTCGCGCGCATCAATCACACTTAAAACATATTTGTGATTGTGTTCAATTGTAAGCGAATTAGCAGTTTTTTTAGTTATTTTTATAACTCATTATTTCAGTAGTAAAGTTTTTAACAGAGCTTGGTCTCACTTTACAGGATTATGAAATTATTGGTTGGCACACAAATGTAATTATTTAAACTTATTAGAATTAATACCATACTGTTGAACAAGATGTAAACAACTAGTTTGTTTTTAGTGAGACTGGTTTTATAGTTATGATAATACCAGCAATATTAGTGGTAAAGACAGTAGCTACTTCAGCAGTCAGTTTACTAGCAGATGTTATGCAAATAAATAAGTATACCTATGCGAATTACGCATATAATCCATATCTTGCACGAACGCACACGTATTTGTTTGGTTTCTTAAATTTGAATTTCCATTGATTTCATTGAACTTTTTTCTGTTTCTACATGTATTTTACTTATCGATGTGGCCATCTTATAAACGTACTTAAAGAAACGTACAAACCGAGCTCATGAACAAGCTTAGCTGGCACCGGCCCGGGTAGAAACCGTACATAGATCCGGCGGAAAACTGGTTGTTAACAAGTACCTTTATGGAGAACATAGGTGAGTTATAGCAATACGATTCAGATTTTCAGATATTGAGGCAAAATCCAAAGATTTGACTATCTATGATGAATATCAGCAAGAAACTTCAGACGAAGGAAGCACAATTTTGACGACCTCTGTGGCCGAGTGGTTTGTACGCCGAGTTTCATGGTGTCGCCGACTCGAGAGGTCCCGGGTTCGAATCGCGGTGGGGGCAGATGTTTGTGTGATAAATACGAGCATTTGTACTTCAGTCATGGATGTTTAATAGGTATTTCTATATAAATATACTTATATATGTACTGTATATGTATTCTATCCGTTTCCCATAACACAAGCCTTACAGTGCCTACCTTGGGGGCTAGGCTAATTGGTCGGAGTGTTGGAAATATTTATTTATTACAATACAAAATACGTAATGTTCGTTCAAAAAACGAGTGGATCCGATGGCATCCCAAAAACTGTGCAGCGAAATTATCTTTTAAATCAACTCTCATGCTCTTTGAAGCGTGTACCGGAGACGAGGGGATTTTCCGGTGCCCTGAATCGTCAAAATCGACCAACAAAGCTCGGAGATATAGGTACGCGAATAATGACGAATTGAGAACCTCCTCCTTATTGCAGTCTGTTAAAAAAATTTCGTACCTACACCACTGCCTGCTCCTCCTCATTTATGAGGAATGTCAGCAAGAAACTTCTAGTAGAAGGAAGCACAAAACAAAATACGTAATGTTCGTTAAAAAAAACGAGTGGGTTCGATGGCATCCCAGCAGCAGTACTCAAAAAATGTTCAACAGAGTTATCTCTTGTATCAACTCTTATGCTCTTTGAAGTGTGTACCGGAGATGTGGAGATGTGCCGGTGCCCTGAATCATCAAAATAGGCCAACAAAGTGCGGAGATATATGAGAACGTCCTCCTATTTGAAGTCGGTTAAAAATGACTTACCTCCACTAGCGCCTGGTTTTCCACCACCATGAGGTCTCCCATAGCCACCAGGTTGGTTGTTTACAACATTAACTAAAAAAACAAAAAACGTTTCTCAGACTTGTTCTATCTGATATCTTATCTCTATACATCTGACTTCGATGTAGTTTTACTGCTATCACGAAAATATAACTGGAAAAAATTCCACGCGGACCAGGCAGCAGACGGGACTCGGACCTGTACCCTCCGGTATCCGGGCGGATACACTGACCAATTATACTACAGCGGCCCTAATGGCCATGTCGAATTTTCTCCAGTATTTTTCAAGCTGCAAGGCGGCGCCATCTCTGCATTGTAGATCACCGAGAAAGTCAAATGAAATACCATTACACGTATTAATCATTTGAAAGAAATGATTAATACGTGTTCAAAATAGCGTGAATGGAAATGCAGAGTGCCGTAATGAAGCTTACGGACTAGATAAGGAAGTTGGAAATGGACATAATGTAATTTTTGTTGAATAGAAACGGTACGTTTACAAAAGATTACTTAATACTGAACAGATTCATCATTTAGGGCGCTTGTTACCCGGGTCTATGTACAGTCTTAAAACGTGTCTACATCCGGTCTTCAGTTAAGTATGGCACACAATGGAGGTTTGTTAACGACAGGGTTTGGGGTCGGTACAAACCGAGCTCATAAACAAGCTTAGCTGGCACCGGCCCGGGTGAACACCGTGCTTAGACCCGGCGAAAAACTGGTTGTTAACAAGCACTTTTATGGACAACATAGGTAAGTTATAGCAATACGATTCAGATTTTCAGATATTGAGGAGAAATCCGAAGATTTGACTATCTATGATGAATATCAGCAAGAAACTTCAGACGAAGGAAGCAGAATTCAAAATACGTAATGGTCGTTCAAAAATCGAGTGGATCCGATGACATCTCAAAAAATGTGCAGCGTAGTTATCTTTTGTATCAACTCTCATGCTCTTTGAAGCGTGTGACAGAGGCGTGGAGAAGTCCCGGTGCCCTGAATCGTCAAAATCGGCCAACAAACCTCGGAGATATACGCGAATAATGACGAATTGAGAACCTCCTTCTATTTGCAGTCTGTCAAACGACTTACGTCCACCACTGACTGGTCTTCCGCATTTATGAGGAATATCAGCAAGAAACTTCTAGACGAAGGAAGAACAATACAAAATACGTAATGTTCGTTAAAAACTAGTGGGTTCGATGGTATCCCAAAAATGTGCAGCGTAGTTGTCTTTTGTATCAACTCTCATGCTCTTTGAAACGCTTGACAGAGGCGTGGGGATGTTCCGGTGCCCTGAATCGTCAAAATCGACCAACAAAGCTCAGAGATATAGGTACGCGAATAATGACGAATTTAGAACCTACTCCTATTTGCAGTCTGTTAAAAAAATTACGTACCTATACCACCGCCTGCTCCTTCCTCATCTATGAGGAATATCAGAAAGAAACTTCTAGTAGAAGGAAGCACAAAACAAAATACGTAATGTTCGTTAAAAAAACGAGTGGGTTCGATGGCATCCCAGCAGCAGTACTCAAAAAATGTTTAGCAGAGTTGTCTCTTGTATCAACTCTTATGCTCTTTAAGGCGTGTACCGGAAATGTGGAGATGTGCCGGTGCCCTGAATCATCAAAATAGGCCAACAAAGTGCGGAGATATATGAGAACCTCCTCCTATTTGAAGTCGGTTAAAAATGACTTACCTCCACTGGCTGGTTTTCCACCACCATGAGGTCTCCCATAGCCACCAGGTTGGTTGTTTACAACATTAACTGAAAAAACAAAAAAGGTTTCTCAGACTAGTTCTATCTGATATCTATATATATCTCTATAAATCTAACTTCTATGTAGTTTTACTGCTATCACGAAAATATAACTGGAAAAAAATCCACGCGGACCAGGCAGCAGACGGGACTCAAACCTACACCCTCCGCTATCCGGGCGGATACACTGACCAATTATGCTACAGCGGCCCTAATGACCATGTCGAATTTTCTCCAGTATTTCTCAGGCTGCAAGGCGGCGCCATCTCTTTGCATTGTAGGTAACCGACAATGTCAAATGAAATACCTTTACATGTATAAAAATTTGAAAGAATAAACAGCAATTGTAATTTATGCCGCGGGCCGCGGTAGCATAATTGCTCAGTGCATCCGCCCGGAGAGCGGAGGGTACAGGTTCGAGTACCGTCTGCTTCCTGTTCCGCTTGGATTTTTACCCGACTGGGCAATGCAAGAGCGCGAAGCGCGACGCGCAGACAGGGTTATGTGTTTATTACCCGGCTGCGCAATGCAAGAGCGCGAAGCGCGACGCGCAGACAGGGTTATGTGTTTAACAGTCTATATATGTATGTTTGTTCCTTTGTGGCACACTAGAGACCAAACGCCTGGACCGATTTTGATGATTCATACATCAATCGATTCGTCTCAATCATGGGAGTGCTACTAAAGATATAATAGTAATCAAAATTCAATATGGGCAAAATTAGGCGCCATATTGTGACGAAGTAAAAAAATAAGTTGACAAAATATGTCGAGTGGGGTATCACTGTCTAGATAATCAAAAATCATATTTAGGTTCCTAACACCATTTTTCATTTTATATGATTGTTTAGGATCTACAATGCTTTAAAGTTGTATATTAACCACTTACGCTTTTAATTTCAATCTTACGTTTGTATAGATCTTTGTTACTCTTTCACCTAAAAAATACTGAATGGATTTTAATGAAACTTAACAGTAATATAGCTCATATACGATAATTTCATATATATAATAATTTATGTAGTTATTGAGTGAATTGGCCAATATATAACAATAAGTGTCACATAAGACGAAAAAGAATCTCCCATCTGCGAGTCATTTTGGCCTGCACTGCAAAAACAATAAAAGTTACATGAATGTAATGTAGAGTGAAAATGTATCTCTTAAATAGTTCTAAAAAAAAGTCCGTGACACCATATATCTATTTTTAATGTGTAAGTCATTACCGCTAAAATAGTGAATCAAAACTAAAATATTATTTGATATCTATTTCCAAAATGCACATTTTGTATTAACAAATCATTTTTTATCAAAACAAATACTTTTATCGCTTTTGATATTTAAAGACGATAAACTTTGCTTTTTACACTATGTCATTTCGACAAATATTTAAAAAGTTACAACGATGACAAAGTGATAGTGCGGTGTAATATGTAAAAGAAAAAAAAATGGGCTATTCGCAGTATCTGATCCTATACGAAGCACTAACAATAAAACTGTGATACAGTTCCTTCTTTTTAAATGATGAAAAATATATTATCATAATAGGTATTTATGATTATTGAATTTTAATGAAAAACTCAGTATTTTACTGTTTTTCACTTTTTTAACGATATCACTTAATGTTACAAAAAAGGTTTACTTAATATAATGACAAATAACCCATTTTTCGCTAGTAAGTACATACTTATTGAAGATTTAAAAATAAAGTAAGTAATAGGTTTATTTGATTATATTTGTAAAAGTTACTTAGCATTTGTGCTTAACAGTGATACGAAATTCGGTATTATTTTAAACAAAAAAAAATTTTGGAAAATAATTGCCATGATTGCACTACTGGGAGTACTCTTCATTCGAGCTTTACACTACCAATAAAAAAGGGTCGATCACAAAGTCTTTCACCTGTTATATGTGAACGCTTTAAAAAAAAAATACAAAGAGAATTGATATATATAATTGATAATAAATGAGATTGCTATGGTGCTCTACCTAACGTTATGAAAATTTTATTATGCGCCTTTAGTTAAATCAAATATTATAAACTTTGCTTTGGTGATTGCATAATTATTTAATTTAGTGATCTAAGGCAGTTGCCACCATTGTCCAAAACAACAAACGGGAATTACTGCTTTCTTCAACCTGCGACATAAACGTCATTGATTGGTATTGTATATAGGGTGATTAAAAACATTTGAAGTTAACTTCTGGCATCTACATATTGGGTTTCTGTGAATTATGTAGGTATATCAAATTATGACACTAGGGACTGATACTGCATTTGTGTTTAACACAATCTTAGTCGTCCGGCATTGACATGACAATGCAGCCACTGCCAATTTTAAATAGTCGACGAATAAAAGTAAATGAATTTTATATTTACTGCTAAACTATTAAAAAAAACATAAACAAAAGATGACTTTTTGTGTAAGTGCTAGTTTACTATAAAATTTACATACATTAGAGATATTTATGTAACGACTCGATTTAACTTCACACATTTTTGCGAAAATTGATTGTAGCGTTGACCACGCTGGTAAAGTCTCTATATGTCTTAATAAATCAATCTTTTAGACCGACGCAAGGTACTTAATAATTCCCGCGATATTAATTCCCTTACTGAAGTAACAAGACTACGGTATATACCGTCTTAAAATACTAACTAACTAAAAAGTGTGAAATAAAAAAGATAAATTTAAAAAATCAGAAAACCCGACTGCTTAATTATACTTCAAATAAAAACTGAAAAGAAAAAAAACAAGTCCAGTAGTCTATAATTCTGTTAATAAGGAACAAAGCTACTTTAACAGTCGGGACCCACTGTTGAAAAATATTATGTATTCTTGAATATCTAATGGGTCCCGACTGTTAAGTAGCTTTGTTCCTTATTAACAGAATTATAGACTACTGGACTTGTTTTTTTCTTTTCAGTTTTTATTTGAAGTATAATTAAGCAGTCGGGTTTTTTGGATTTTTTAAATTTATCTTTTTTTCTAGTTATATTTTCTTTAGATTTAAACATCTAGCAGTTAAATGTTTAAAAATAAAAATGTAATATACCATCAAGAAAATTTAGGAAGACGATTAAAATAGCGTGGATTGAAATGCAGAGTACCGTAATGAAGCTTACGGATTGGAAATGGACATAATGTCATTTTTGTTGAATGGAAACATGGTACGTTTCCAAACGATTATTTAATATTAAAAGAAATCATCATTTAGAGCGCTTGTTACCGGCGTCTATGTACAGTCTTAAACCGTGTCTACATCTGGTCGTCAGTTAAGTATGGGACACTATGGAGGTTTGTTAACGACAGGGTTTGGGGTCGGAGCAAACGTACAAACCGTGCCTAGACCAGGTGGAAAACCGATCGTTAATATACGCCCCTATGGAGAATATGGGATAGTTAAAGCAATACGATTCAGATTTTCAGATATTAAGGCAAAATCCAAAAATTTGACTATCTATGAGGAATATCAGGAAGAAACTTCAGACGAAGAAAGCATAATACAAAATACGTAATGTACGTTCAAATATGAGTGGATACGATGGCATCCCGAAAACTGTGCAGCCGAGTCATCTTTTGTATCCATTCTTATGCTCTTTGAAGCGTATCACGGAGGCGTGGAGATATTCCAGTACCCAGAATCGTCAAAATCGGCCAACAAAGCTCGGAGATATAGGTACGCAAATAATGACGAATTGAGAACCTCCTCCTATATTAAGTCTGTTAAAAAAAACTTACCTCCACAACCGCCTGGCCTTCCGCATCTATGAGGCATCTATGAACAAAAAACTTCTAGACGAAGGAAGCACAATACAAAATACGTAATGTTCGTTTAAAAAACTAGTGGGTTCAATGGCATCCCAGCAGCAGTACTCAAAAAAAGTTCAGCGGAGTTCAGAATGCTCTTTGAAGCGTGTACCAGAGATGTGCCGGTGCCCTGAATCATCAAAATCAGCTAACAAAGCTCGAAGATATATGAGAACCTCTTCCTATTTAAAGTTGATTAAAAATGACTTACCTCCACCACCGCCTGGTTTTCCACCGCCATGAGGTCTCCCATAGCCACCAGGTTGGTTGTTTACAACATTAACTGAAAAAACAAAAAAGGTTTCTCAGACTAGTTCTATCTATATATTTCTATATATCATCTGACTTCTATGTAGTTTTACTACTATCACGAAAATAAAACTAGAAAATTTTACACGTGGCGTGGAGATTTTCCGGTGCCCTGAATCGTCAAAATCGGCTAACTTAGCTCGGAGATATACGCGAATAATGACGAATTGAGAACATCCTCCTATATTAAGTCTGCTAAAAACGACGTACCTCCACCACCGCCTGGTCTACCGCCGCCACTAGGTCTCCCATAGCCACCAGGTTGGTTGTTTACAATATTAACTGAAAAAGCCAAAGAAGGGTTCTCAGTCTACTACTATAGAGGATATATACATATATTTAACATTATGTCTTGGCCTCAGCAGCTCACAAAGATGCTCAAATAAATAAAATTGCCTTTGAAGGATTTACTGTTCTGGATTGGGAGAGAAAATAAACTTAGTCAGCCAGAGCGTAGATTTAGACCAGCTGCAAACTATAAAGGCTCATACATAACAATGCCGGTGAGTGTTTGACGCACGATTCAGCCGCTGGCAAAACCTGCACGCAGATTTCTTATGAACATCTATAAGAGTTAGTTATAAGTTAAACTTTCTTTTAGTACTAAATATCATATAACATGCCTTAATACTTTTTACAGTCTCATAGGAAGACACTTTTTGCAATGACTTAGTTCTTATAGTGGTTTAGGTTCAAGTTAAGTTTGCTAGTTGGGTATGCAAATAAATAAGTGCTTATGCTATGCATCTGCATTACATAATCCATGTCTTGCACAATGTAGTTTGGTCTCTTAAATTTGAATTTCCATTGATATCATTGAAAGCAGACGATTCAAAAATGGTAGTTGGTTTGCGGCAGCGCTGCAGCGATGAAACATTATCATTTGAAAGCTGGTTTTATGTATTAACATGAACAAATATAAATGACATTTTATTTATCTCTGATTAATTTAAATCATGTTTGAAAATTTATCAATTTCGTAAGGTTGCTGACTGTAACAATTTATTAAAATGATTTACCTCCACCGCCGCCTGGTTTTCCACCGCTACTTGGTCTCCCATATCCAGGTCCAAAACTAACTGAAAAAAAAAATATTCACATATTACTTCTTTAACAGAATCATTTTTAACTATTATGGCTAGGTCGAAATTATTACTATTGCTGGATTGGGAGAGAAAATGAAATTATCTGCAGCTGCAGACTTATTGGCTCATACATTCAATGCCGTTGGGTTTTTGACGCGCGGTTCAGCCGCTGAAAAAGTTAACATCACAACAAATAAGGATACTTTTTCTGCTTTCAAAACCGTTTGCCAAACAAGAAAACAGTTTCTGAAACCAACAGCAAAAAATATATTATGTTTTAGAAAAAAGACTGTCAATAAAGACATTACAACCCAGAGACATATTAAATAATTTGAAGAATTAAAATAATAATATTCACATAATATATATTGACGACCTCCGTGGCCGAGTGGTTTGTACGCCGGGTTTCATGGCTGTCGCCGACTCGAGAGGTCCCGGGTTCGAATCCCGGTGGGGGCAGATGTTTGTGTGATGAATACGTGCATTTGTACTCCAGCCATGGATGTTTAATATGTATTTATATAAATATACTTATATATGTACAGTATATGTATTCTATCCGTTACCCTAGCATCCCATAACACAAGCCTTATAGTGCTTACTTTGGGGCTAGGCTAATTGGTGTAAAAAAAAAAAACATAAGAAGTTTGTTGTACAAAAATTATTAAAGTTTCAAATTAGTAGGTAATATTTGAATGCTGGCTAAACCAAACCATATGAAAATATGTATGCATAAGTGATTTCCAGTGTGTGCAACCGCAAATTATCATTTCTAGAGTTAGATACAATTAGATAAAATTTATAAAAAATCACTTGATTTTATTCCTCTAGTTATTGATAAAACAATAAATGTATAGGTATTATTATAAATGGAAAGGCACTTTTTACCCAATTTCAATAATATTACCTTTTTACCCTTTCATAAAAAACCTTTTGAACAGTGTCAAAAATTACACAGGTATATTTCTGGATAAATTACAAACAAATGAGTGAAACTCCCTTAACCCTAACACTAAAAATGCTAACTTTAGACCAAAAAATATGTACGCAAAAATATTTATTAATGTGGTGTTGGTCAGTCACTAGGTCCGCGTCCCAGTTAGGGTTACCATCCGTCCGGATTAGTCCGGACAAGTCCGAACTTTTAGACCATAGACCGGACTTTGTCCGGATCTTTAAATTGTCCGGATTTTCAAAAATTACTTTGTATATGAATAATAAAAGTATATATTGAATTAAATACCTTTCTATTGTTACTAAGTGAGTATTGGTACCATTTTGTGACTAAAAAGTCCGGACTTTTTTCGAAATGTCAGGATTTTTGTCAGCACTTTGGAAATTCCTAAATGGTAACCCTAGTCCCAGTCCCCGTAGCATAAGCGCCACAATTTTCATTATATCTGCATGTAACTGTCAACTTTATCACGTGTAACTATTAATCTCCATAGTAATTTGACAATTGAGCGTGATAAAAACGCGTTATATATCATATCGCGGTGCTCATGCTAGGGGCAACTACAATAGCTGCCGCGCATGCGCTAGATTGCCAAAGCATCAGACCTTATACAACATACTAATCAATAATAATAATAATAATATTAATCTCTATCTGAATTTTAAATATTTGCATCGGAACAACTTACTTACACCGGCACTTTCAACCCCGCTCTTCCTTAAAATATTCCTACCGATTTATAGTTACTGTGGGACTAACTCGTATAATATTATTTTGTTTTTCATACCTTGAGCAAATGCAATGGACAGTAGAGCGAATAAAAGAACCTGAAATGATAAGAAAAAATATTTTATTTTGATGCACACTGCGATAAGTTATTCTTTTTTTCAGTTTTTTACAGTTTATTTAAATAATGCTAACAAAACTTTTTTTCCAGAATTTTGTGCAAATCCTTAAACTAAATCTACTGCAATCATAATTTTTAAATCTAATTGTTAATAATTCCTGTGCCAAATAAAAGAGTGGCAGCATTTCGGACTCTACACATTTTGATCAAAACTTTTCGATCATGCTAATAAAGTACTTATGGTATTTTACAAATTAAACGAATTCAATAATAAGATAAATGCTTTGAGTATAAATAGTATTAAAACATGAATAGTAAGGTATCAATTTCTTGTTCATGCACCAAGTTAAAAATTTGTTGTAAGTAGAATCGGAGACACATCGTAATATTGCAAAAAAAAATAAGGTGTTCTACATGAAATAATAAATATTGTTTATTTCTAATTTAAAAATTTATATTTTGAACTTTATAAATGTATTCAGTTTATAAAGTATAATCAATGATATTTTAAAACAATCAAATCAATGATTTTTTCCGCACAACAAAAATACAAAACGCACATAAAAGTTTCGACTTTAAAATCGTACTTACCAAAATAAACTTCATGTTGAATGTTTTCAAACTAAGCTCACAATTGATAATGATTGTGGACGCTATCAAATGGCATTGTATACTAAACAGTATTTTGGCAGAAACCGTTTTTATATAGGATAGGGCGTGTCTAGTAGGGCGTCCGGCTAGAAATTAAAGTGCAATTTTTCACACCTAAGTGAAGATTCGCAAATACAATTCCAGACACATCTTTCGGCCCACTTAGTGTTATAAGGTGCTAGGGTCTCTAGCAAAAATATGTATTAGGTTGAGTAATAATAAAATATTTAAAAATCACACATGCTAATGATTGTTAATATATCAGCTTCAAAAATGCGTTCAAACTTTTAGCTCAATTTAATATTTATTTTAGCTAGGGACTGTCAAAACGTAAAAGAAGCGCGTGGGCCGATAGATATGTCCGGAAGTGTATTTTTTTTTTCAAATCGGTTTCTTGGCATTTCCAAGTATTGTTTCAGTTCAAACAGATTTAATTCTTTGGAAGTACTTACTAGAAAACTTGTTTCTTAATATAAATTCATATGACTGAGATACTGTTGTCCACAATTTTTAAAAACGGTTTTTTTAAATATTTTTATATTTTCAATTGCTCTGATTTCTTTGCAAGGGCTACCTACTACTATCCATTACGACTACATATTCTAGGTAAACAAGGGAAAGGTTTGACAAACAAATTAATTTATACTTATCATTACCTACTTAAGTTTGTACAATCGTTGATGTAAGTATGATATTTTTGTCAAAAAATATTTAGGTTAAGTTTAGCATAAGGCAAATTGCTTAGATCCCAGAATACCAACTATAAGCAAATTATATTGAAGATAGATAGCACAATGCAACTAATTGTATTTCCATATTTTCAGCAATTTAACTGCTAGGTGTTTGGAAATATAAAGAAAAATACTAAAAAATAAATCGCAACGGGACCGCGTGGAACTTTTTCTAGTAATATTTTCTATATATTAATGCACCTTTTTCAGAGGTTGAACATAAAAATAAGTTAGGTAGGTAATATCATAATTGAGGCTGTCAGCGCAAAAAAAAATAGGATAAGTCAACGTTTAGGTAGATATACAAAGGTATTTTTAAATAATTTGCGAACTCAGTAGGTACAGCTAAGTTTGAAACAGAAAAAAACGGACACTTTGTAGGTTTCACTTCTATCGCATGTGAACAGCACGCACATGCGATAGAAGTGAAACCTACAAAAATGTGAACACGTAAAAGTCCTTCATGACTAGGCACGTCTTAAAGACAACACCTATGTTAAAATGCAACTCTCTATGACAACATTAAATATTTTATACTACTTAAATTGTTACGAAAAATTAATAATAGCTTAATGAAAGAAAAAAAAACCTTAAAAAAATTACCAAGCTCAGGACCGAACCACCGATCAGTTGGTGTCGACCCCAAGACCGTTACTATTCGGCTATCGGTTTTTTAAAGTAAATGATAAAATTACGGATACTTATCTTGTGTCAAATACTCTACTTCCTTTTCATCGAATCACAAATCACAACGGTGCTGAAGTTATCACTTCAAAAGAAATTCGAGTATTTAGTATATTAATGATACTATATAAATGGGCTTTAATAATACTTGGTGACATAGCGATATGTACCTATTTAATTAACTTCCACAAAAAACCTATTAGGTAAGTAGGTACATCTCGAAATAGCACCCATTGAAATGATAACTAGCAAATCTTAAAAAAGTCTCTGGTTAAAGTTTTTGCTATAAGTCGTTAGTACCTAGATAAGTTATTAAAATATGTGGGTACAATGCGTCGATAAACTATTTCCTAAGATTACTTTTATTATTTATAGATTAGTATAATAACTATCTAATATAAAATATAACTATTATTTAAGTTGTTATATGGTGATTTTTAAGAGAAAGCTTAAGTTTTGAATAAATGATGAGCTTTTGGTTAAAACAAGTTTATTGGTTATAACAATAGAGATATTTATTACAGTTGTTATAGAAAACATAGGCATACAAAATTATAATAACCAAAATGATTGCTACTCAATAGGTAAGCGCTGCAAGAAGATCAGTGCAGGTCACAGCACTGATCTTCCGTTGCGTCAGTATGCATCAGTGACATAAGTAGACTAAAGCTGTGTCCACATTTGTAGCAGCTTGACGTATCACGATCAGGCGTATCGTATCGAATATTACATAAGGATACGCATTTTGACTATGTCGTATTAATTAACCGTATCATGTAAAAATGCATCCATACTTATCCAATGATCTATCGTGTCAATGTAAGGGTTTTAACTGAACAGTTAAGGACGTTACAACTTTTACTCTGATCCTCGTATTTTTTCCTGATACGTCTGCTTTTCAGTTCTCTTTCCCCTCTGGTACAGTTCTGTCATGTCTTCGTTCGCAAACGGTTTGCAGCGATGTCAACGTACGCGATTAAAATGGATTCAAGGCCAAACTTGCGTCGCGATACAGTTTCGTGGTACAGCAACAATATAAGTCTATACTGCTGATCGTGATACGCGTATCAGATACGGCGGGTATCATTACCGGGTATCATCTTGTATCCATGCTAGCGATCATGATACACATCAATGCCACGCGATGTAGATACGATACACCGAAATGCTACAAATGTGGACGAAGCTTTAAAATATTTTTAATAGACAATACACACACGAGGCATAATTTCTAAAATTATCGATTCTATAAATTTCATGAAATGAAATGAAAATTCATTTATTCAGTCTAGGCTGTTACAAGCGCTTGTGAAGGTCAAGAAGCTACGCCATCGGTTCGCAAAACTACGGCGGGAGACCTTGTACTGAGAAAAACCGGCAAGAAACTCAGCACGGGGCTGTTTTTTTCTCCCTGTCTTGTTATATACAGAGTCGTCAAGTTGAAAAATGACTTCTGAGATATGTCTGAAGTCACTTTCCATTATTTTATTATATATTAGTATATAGGAAGCGGCATTAGATAGGTACTATATTACTGTTATGAAAAATGACTAATACCCATCAAATTACAAATTACAAGAAACACTATGTCCATGCATTATGTTCATTTAGATAATCATTAACTTTATAAAAGCCCTTATTCATAAGAGAATTCTTGATCTGAGATTTAAATTTGGTCAGTGGAACAACAGTGAAAGCTCAATCAGATCTTGGGGAACTTTAATAAACAATGCAATACTACAACCCAGAAATGAACCTCTTGCCATGCCATGCCATGCCAGTGTTAAAATACTAATTGCTTTAAATATTTCTCTAAGGGATTCTCTTGCCTTTAAATTGTATATGGCGCGAACAGTACCCCTAGCACGAACCAATATCGAATTCGTATCGTTTGCGAGTAAAACAGCTCTCTTTTGCAGTATGAAAATACTTTCGATATTAGCACAACAAAAGGCCATATGACATAACACTATGAAAGTAACCAAAGTAAACCAATTTTGCATGACTAATGCAGGATTAAACGCACGTCTCTAATGACAATGAAGTACAATAATTATTTCTTCCAAATTTAGAACTAATTACGAATTTAGAATATGTAACTTTATGGACGCATAAACGTCAAAACGGCCATCATAGCATGCTGCTACTATAGCTCCCTTTGGTTAGCGCACGGTCAAAATGTAATGGTGGGGAGTGACGCTCGACACCCCCCGGCGCGACAGCTGCTGGCTGCGCCCTTGTGCAACGCACACCCTGTTCCATAGGTAAAGCAGTCTCTGATCAAAATTAATTACCTGGAGCTCCTCCACTCCGTGCTTCGGAAGGCTCTTTAAGCCGTTGGTCGCGGCTGTAAGCAGCCGTTAGCAGTACCCACCAGTAGCACTGGGGTTATGTTATGGTTGCTTCATCCATAGGTAGTGCCTTTCTCCCAACAGTGGGTATATTAATAGGCTTATGATGTTGGATAAAATGAGAACAAAAAAGGTTCCTATACTTACAGAACCTTCGCATTATTATTAACGGGCGTAGGTACAGAGAGCCACACATCAAGTTATCTATCACAAACAGGAAAATGTTGTCCATAGGTTGTAAGAGCGGTTAGCGGCTCGTGTGTTCAGCTAGCTAAAGTCAGTTGGATAAGTACATAATTAGTTTTGGGGAACATTTGGCTTTCAGTACCTCGGTTTGGTGTCTTCGCTCAACAAATTAGTCAACAAAAGTACCTAATTCTCAATTAAAGTACAACATTTGAAATATTTAATTAAAAAGTTGGGTCGGTAGACGTGTGGCGAATTCTCTTTACGTACGTGTGCTGCTGTACCAAATTTGCAGAATAATGGGAACCTTATTTCCTGTACGAGTTCATGGTCATTACAAAGCAATCATGACAAGGCACGTCTCATATCACCATCATGGCACACAAGCAGGTAACATTTTTAAATACGACTTACGAAAGAGATATACATATTGTTTTTTTTTATGTAAAAAACAAAATCCCGGAGCTCGTTAGCGCAGGTAGTTAGTACATTCGTCATGCTCGTGAAAGTAAAGCAAGCAACTTTCGCAATGGTCGGTCATTGGATGGGTGAATAAAACTTATCGCGAGCTGAGTGCTTCGGAAGGCACGATAAACCGTTAGTCCCGGCTGCATCTGCAGTCGTCAGCACCCACCAATTTGCTTCCTATCAGTCTATGAGTCTTTCTATTCCATCCATAGGGACCGCCTGAGTGCTGCGGGGACATTAATAGGCTGATGTTGGTAATATAAAATAGTGGCAAACTATTTTATGACCCGCCTGACATCGGCACCTGAATAATTGAGCATCGTGGCAGAAAAATCGCTAGGTATAGGTATGCTCTACCTCTAGACACCACATTAGACATTGCCTTGGTCTCCTTTTGGCATCTCTTCGATGTCCCCTTAAGTGGGTTCTTCTGCAATATAGAAAATCAGTCACTGGACGATATCTTTTACTCCTGCTGTTCATACCAAGTATACAGAAATATGCCTTTACCTTCGAAGTATTTTAGGCGACGAAACCATTCTCGCGCGACTTGAGACAACTGTTACAAAAGGCATTAGTATTTAACTGCAAATAAAAAAATGACGTTTTGTAATAATCATAATAATAAAATAATATTAATAATCATAATAATAAACCTACAAGTTTCTTGGTATGTCACAGTCTTTGGGTATTACGGATGGGGACGTAAAACAGGCATTGAAGGAGCGTTTCTTTTGGAGACTGACAAAAGTACTGAATTGTCTTTTGTCGGGAGCCAATAAGGTGCGCGCCTTCAATGCCTGGGTGATGCCCCTATTCACTTACTCCTTTGGCATACTGAGATGGACTCAGACTGAGTTAGACACTCTGGATAGGAAGGTTCGTCAACTGCTCACAATGCACCGTATGCTCTGTGTATACCCGCGCTCATCTGTTATGAGACTGTATATCCCACGTAAGTGTGGAGGTCGTGGCTTATTAAATACCAAGAATCTCCACAACCGAGAGGTGTGCAGTCTCAGGGATTACTTCCTTAACAGTGAGGGTGGGTTGCATCGTGACATTGTAGCAATTGACAAAAACCTAACGCCGCTCTCCTTGGCGAAAGAGAACTGGCGCAAGCCGAGGATGCTAAGCACCCAGGATCGCAAGGAAGTATGGAAAAGCAAGGAGCTCCACGGACGGTTCTATCGGGCCCTAACAGGGCCTGATGTGGACCAGCTCGCCTCCGTGAACTGGCTACGATTCGGTGATCTCTTTGGGGAAACCGAAGGGTTTGTCTGTGCAATTGCTGACGAAGTCATGATGACGAACAACTATCGGAGATATATCCTGAGGGACGGAACGGCCGACATTTGTAGAGCATGTCGTCGGCCTGGTGAATCCCTCAGACATATCGTCTCTGGTTGTTCTCATCTGGCCAACGGTGAGTATTTGCACAGACATAATCTCGTAGCCAGAATTATTCACCAGCAACTTGCTGTTCAATACAACCTTGTAGAATCCGAGGTGCCGTACTATAAGTACACACCGGCGCCAGTTCTTGAAAATGGTCATGCAACGCTCTATTGGGATCGACCTGTCATTACGGACAGGACTATTATTGCCAATAGGCCTGATATCGTATTGACAGATCGATTGAAACGCCAGGCAGTGCTCATCGATATCACCATCCCGCATGACGAGAACCTCGTGAAGGCCGAGAAGGACAAGCTCAGCAAGTACCTGGACTTGGCCCACGAGGTAACCGCTTTGTGGGATGTGGATTCGACGATCATTGTCCCTATAGTCGTTAGCGTAAACGGTCTCATAGCGAAGAGTCTCGACCAACATCTAAAGAGCCTCTCGCTAGATGGTTGGGTCAAGGGGCAGATGCAAAAGGCAGTACTCCTGGACACGGCGCGCATCGTCAGGCAGTTTCTTTCTCTGCGGCCCTAACCACTGGTAGCTTGGGCCTCGCTCCGCTGCTGGTGGCCTTCTAGGTAAGGTTTTTTATACTATATTTATTATTGTATTTACGTTTTTGTATTTTAATTTTATATCTATTTTATAAAAAACCTAACTTGTGAAATTAAATAAATGAGAGAATAATAATAATCAAAATCATTTATATTAATTCCAAATTCTAAGCAAAAATACTTATTGCACAGCATAATAGTCACCTAAAAATATTGTTATATTAATAACAATTTAAGTTCGTGATGCATCGCTATTTATTTAAAACTAAAGTTTTTTTAAGAATGCATATCTAATAATAACCACCTCACAATAAATCTATCATATCACTTTTTTTTAAACAAAGCTGCCATATTTTTATCTCATACAGCAGTTTACCTAAGTGAAACACCATACTTGAGACAGATCGCAAGTCCCATGATATGCTTGCATTTATAGTTTTGGAAAAAATGGGGGCAGGTACATTTACCATTAATCCAGGCACTTTTTTGCGTGAGCAAGACAACTCTCCAATATGCAAAAGCATTTTTTGTAACCATCAAAAGTGTCCCAATGCTGAGCAAGTTTTGAAAAGCTTAGTGGATAACCTGTTGCAAAAATAGCTGTTATGAGTGTGAGTATTATGCGTCGAAGCGCTGGTTAATTTTCTATACAATCGGTAGGTATATTTGCTGTGCAATCAGTAAATTTGATATAAAAATACAATAAAACAAGTTTTTTGTCGAGAACTAGAGGAAAAAATGTACAACCGCACACAATTTAGAGCGTAGTAAAAAAAGTGGGAGGTAAACCCTCTCTTCACCACGCTCCGCCGCCTCTGCTTGTAGGTTCTATGCTCATATATTTTAGAGAATAAGAGACAACATTGACGCTGTTATACTAGATAACTAAGGGGTTAAATAAATATTAGGGAGGGCAGGATCCTAAATCTCCTCGTCTATAACAGGATAATTCAGATCGAACTTCACTTATGTAAGTTCGTTCGAATATGTAATTATTAGATTTACTAGCTGTGCCCCGCGGTGTTACCCGCAGTTAATTAGGGATATTTTCCCGCAGTAAAACGTAGCCTATGTGTTAATCCAGGGTGTCAGCTAAGTCCATACTACATTTTATTAAAATCGCTCCAGCCGTTTAGACGTGAAGAAGTAACAAACATACACACTCACATACTCTCAAACTTTCGCCTTTATAATATTAGTGTGATAGTGTGATTAAAACTAACCTTTTTTCTGAATTTGTTTTTTTATTTTTACGGAAACAATCTTTATGAAATAAAAGTTTTATAAAGGTATTTTGATGCTCGGTATGAAAGTTCGTTCAGACCTGAATCCAAAGGACTACCTGCATCGAAACCGTGATCAAAACCAAGGATGTAACGGAGGTAAATTTATCGCAACCGAAGTCGGAGTCGGAGTTTTTAAATTTGATTTATATGGAGTCGGAACCAGAGTCGGGTTCAGAGGCAGAGTCAAAAGTGGTCACAAGAGAGATATTTTTCATTGAAGAACAATTAAAAACATCATTCAGTCAACCTTTTTACATTTTAATTATAAAATAACCTTTTTTCATATAAATTTACTTATTGTTAACACATACCAGCGTGCAGCGTTGCCAGTTTTTTTTGCCATGGCGGGATTTAGGAACTTTTTGTGTGAAAGCGGGATACTTTCGGCTAAAGCCGGACACAGTACGAAAACGTATTTAATGAAAAGTTTTTGAATATTTATCTTTTCATTTTAGTTCAAATTACGTTTACGTGACACTAGATAGGTTTCTATCTTAGTAGTTTCTCTAGTTCTTCATTATGCGCCAGGCAGGTGTCCAGTCCACATTTGTCTGTGCCACTCGCCCGCGCTTTGACAGTACGCTGCACGCACGGTCGACTTATTCCCGAAAAGCGAATATTGCTCGCATTTCTGGGGTGGCTTTACCGAGTACTTAATCGTTGACTTAGATAAGTGGCAGCGGCAATGCCCGCATCATTTGCAATGTAGAGGTAACTAACAACCTCGGGTCTTCACTCTCCACCACTTAACATCAGGGAATAGAGCCAGCTATAAAAAAAACACAGCCTCCAGTTAGACCATAGTTTGACTATCTCACATAAAATCGAATTGGCTCTCTTTGCATTTGAATCCGACAACGTAAAATGAACTTAAGTTTTTAAAAAACAAGGTCAATTTTCGAAACTAGTACGCACTCCTCTTTATATAGTACTTCCATGCAAAATAATTACACCTACATTCTTCTAAATAGATTTATAAACTCTTCAATAAAAACGCATAAAAAGAAAAATTTACAGACAGGGCTGTACGAACTCAGAATCCTTTGCCCGTTGCAACAAGGAATAAAAACACAAAATGTCACCGGAGCTTTCAAAAAATGTCCACGAGGGCATCACTGAAACTTTAAAAACCAACGCAGAAAGCTATTTAGTATTGGGCGATTATGAGTATTACCATTATTTATGTGATGGCTTTGACGACAGGGTAATTAAAATTTTAATTACACAAATAATATTCATGGAAAAAAAATTTGACCTTCTCACTTTCTAACATTATTTTAGGGATGGGGTTGTGGCTACAGAACTCTCCAAAGTATATGCTCATGGATGAATGAAAACTACATCAAGAAACAAAATGTACCTTCTATACTAGAAATCCAAGAGACTTTAGTTGAAATGGAGGATAAACCGAAATCTTTTCTAAAGTCAAGGCAATGGATTGGTAGTTTTGAAGTAAGCAAGCAGCTACTAAATACTAAGCTCATTCCCTAAGTACCACTGCTCATTGCTAATGTATATTCACTGGCATCTTTTTATTAAATTACGAATTTCAGGTGTGTTTAGTGATAGACAAATATTACGATGTTCCGTGTAAAATCATTCACATCAACAAAGGAGATGAGCTTGGTACCATAGTAGATGTGCTGATTGACCACTTCCAGAAATTTGGCAGTCCTGTAATGATGGGTGGCGATATTGATTGCTCATCAAAAGGCATTATGGGCATACAAATTGTTGATGGTGAAGCTAGTCTATTAATTGTGGTTAGTATTCTGAGTTAACAGGCAGTATGGCCTAACAATAAACACATTAGTGTCATGATTCTCTAAATGTAAACTTAAATTTGACAACAGTGTATCCTAGTCTTTCTATACAAAATGAATAAGAGCAGCTGATGTTAAATTTAAGTAGGTTTAAGTTTAGAGAATCATGCCAGAAACACCATAGTGTCTTTATTTCTAGGATCCTCATTATGTTGGTAAAAAACAGAGCAAGGAGTTCCTCCAGAAGAAAGGTTGGGTGAAGTGGCAACCATTGAAAGATTTCCTAAGTTCTTCCTTTTACAACCTTTGTTTACCGCAGGTAAAATCTAATACAAACGAGGGATAGAAATAAAACTTTTATATAATTAAAATCAGTCTTTACTTTTACAACCACAGTAAGGCATACATTTTATGAGTAACAATAATAACAAACCAAGAATTCACACACTCACACAACATATTCAAGAATCATAACTGTCCCATATTGACATTATCAAACTACTCAATGAAATAAATATTTTTTTCTAATTCAAGCTATAATATACTAGCATTATATTTCACTTAGTTTTCATTCAAGTCTAGTCTGTATTCATAATAAGGCAAACTCCCTGAAGAATCCAGTGGCTGCAATGCTCTGCAGTCCACAAATCAGATTCAAACACAAGGCCCACCCCCATGGCATCTCGCCTTGTTGATGTAGTGTAAACTGGTGTACGTAAAGTGTTCTGAAAATTTCATATGTGGTTAATATAAAATTCATTGATTATTGAGGATATCTTAAAAGTGGCATTTAATAATTTTACCTGCAGTTTCAATTTGTGGAACTCTATAGGGATGATGTACATTATTGGTAATTCAGTGACCAACACCTTAGGATGAGATCTTCTAAGGCATCCTTCTTCAAGATCCCAACGTGCACCTTCCAGGTACAGCCCTCGGACATAGCATCCCTGCAATGCACCCAAAATGTAATGTAGCATTGTTGGCTTTTTCTCAATATTGTTAATTTGATTAGTGACATGCTTCCTTGCCTAGGAAGACCCAATTAAAAGTATTTAATAAGGCTGCACAGACTATATTATTTCTAAACTTTTAAGTTTGCAGTTCCATCGATAAACTTGAAATGATACAAATAAAAACAATGTTCTTTGGTTCAGAATAGGTTAACTTCAAACTACATTGTTACCAGCGTTGCCAGATTTTGTTTTTGCCAAGTCAGGATTAAAGAACTTTTTGAGTGAGAAAAGCGGGATTCTTTCGTCGAAAGCGGGAAATACCTAGTAAAAAAACGAATACAATCAAAAGTTATTGAATATTTATCTTCATTACGCGCCGGGAAGGCGGCCAGTCCACACTTGTCCGTGTCAGCCGCCCGCGCTTTCTTAGTACGCTGCACGCACGGTCGAGTTATTCCCGAATCGCGGGACTGAGCCTGTCCCGCGCGGGACATTAAATTTTGATTTAAAAATCGGGCAACGCTGATTGTTACACTTAGGCGTTACTACCTGTATTCTGGCCAACAGTTAGCCAAGTATTATAAGAAATTGTTAGGTAGTGTTTTATTCAACGTAAATATAGGTAATATCTAATTAAGAGTCTACCGTAACGGGTCGTTCCTCGATGTCGTCGGGCGAGGTCCACCTAGTGACGCGTGTAAACTGCGTGGAACGGTCCAGCGGCCAAGTGTACAGCCGGCACGCGATCTGCACGTGCGCGATTAGGTACGACTCAGGGATGTGCAGCCCCGACAGCCAGATCACCACCGGCTCCTCCATTGTAGCCTATCAATTCAAATACACAACAACATAATTAACCGTGACTATGATAGTTGGAGGAGCTCGATGGCGCGGGTCGTTAGTGCGTTCGCTTTCGCAGTGGTCGGTCATTGGATGGGTGACCAAAAATCTTCTATCTCTAGTTCCTCCGTGCTTCGGAAGGCACGTTAAGCCGTAGGTCCCGGCTGCAACTGCAGTCGTTAGCACCCGCCAATCCGCACTGGGACCGCGTGGTGGGTCATGGCCCTATCTCCCTACTCCATCCATAAGGAAGACCTGTGCCCCAGTAGTGGGGACATTAATAGGCTGATGATGATAGTTGAAGTTGAGCAACTTTCACATTGGTCGGTCATTAGATGGGTGATCAAAATTTACTATCTTGCGCTCCTCCATGTTTCGGAAGGCATGTTAATAGGGATGAAAAATCTTTTGAAATATCGATATTTATATAGAAGTCAGGAAAATATCGATATCCGATAAATCGAACATTTTAACTCGATATTATCGATATATCGATACTTTTTCCTTTTTATTTTTTATTGACATTAGAATAAGGGGTGAGTGTGACACATTCATATGTTTGCATTGAGACACACATTTAATGCATTGAGACAGCTTTTTCGTTAAACACGCTTGATGAAATCGCGCCAAGCAGGATATTTTTTATTGGCTCGCACAGTCTGTGTTTCAGCCCCGACAGGAAACCAAAAAAATATTATCCTGATCAGATCACTCACTGTTAACGCCATCTATCGTAAGCTTGCGAAAACACATTTACCTTATCCCTTCCTCTAAACTCACCTGTTGTCGACTTCGTCCGCGGCGCTGCCATCGCTGCAATTCGAACCAACGGACGAAAAAAAGGGCAACGGACTGTGTGTGCTCTGATCGCCGAGAGGAGACACCAAGAAACTCCCACGACTGAGAAAAAACCGCGCTCCGGAGACGCTTTTCGCCTACACATATTTCCGCCCCGGGGCCCGCGAACATCCCGCGAACATTAGTGTAAAAAAGAAATAGTGGCGCGCCACAGGCGAACATTTCCAGGACAGGAAGCACAGGCGCCAAGGAACCAGCCCAACAAACCAACAGGTACCCCCTTTCCCACAGTTTCCCTCTAGTTTTTGTGTTTTCTTCTTGTATATAATCACACATCCGCGTCGGGAATTTGTTTTGTTTTGTGGCGTGACCATTATTTAGTGGTCCTTCAGCCGCATTCATCCACCCGCCCTTACTGGTATTTACCCAGTAAGAGTATTTATCCGCTCCAATATTGTACATATTATATATATTTTCGCTTATTTTTCGTATTATAAGCCCGCAACGCATTTTCGTTCTCATAAAACGAAAGCACGGTGTCGTGGCTCGCTCATATATATATCTACCGCCCCATTAGAATAAAATTATTCATCTAATAGGAGAACAATACAAATTATTATAACACCCATATGTATTTATATAATTAATTAAAGGTTCCAGTAAATACTTAACCATTATAAGTATACCTACATTTCAAAGTACCTACATATTTGATATTTGTCACATTTATTTACCCGTGATTGGATATTTTATAAAGGTGCATAGAATAAAAACAACAACGCTTACATATTTAATTACTTACGCATTTGTCATTTGTTTGCATTCATAATGGACCCGAAAAAGGATTCGCCTAGTACGCAAAATCAAAAATTACTTATGTTGGAAGCTAAGCGTAATGCCTTATTTGAATGCATGCAAGAGATTTATGACTTGTCAAATACACTAGGATCCGGTAATCAAGGCGTGGAAATTTTCCTCGATGCTAGTAGTAACATTGACACATTACGTTCTGAATTTAAAAACTTATTAGATGAGTACAACAGGTGTTTACTAAAAGAGAAACCGAACTTTGCAATAGATTACAAAAGCTTTGTCGCATTCGAACGACTATACGGCCGGGTTAAGAGATTGGTGACCATTCATAGCCGCGATCTGCTTGCCGAGAAGAAGAGTGAAGATGCACCGCGTAAAACGCGTCCCTCCTTACCACCGTTAGAACTCGTGTCGTTTGACGGAGACATACGCAAGTGGCCTCTGTTCTTCGCTAGTTATAAGTCTACTGTTCACGAAAACCCATCGCTTTCAGACGCTGAGAAACTTTATTATTTGTTAGGTAAAATTTCGGGTAAAGCTCAAACCGCTTGCGCCGGGATTACCCCCTGCGCAGAAAATTATGATTTAATTATTCAAACGCTAGTAGAAAGGTATGAGGACAAGCGTACTTTAGTCAGTTCACATATAAACAATTTATTAGATTTTAAACCCATACAAAGCGCATCGGTTGTAAATTACGATGCCTTTCTTGAAAATTTCGTAAATTCAGTCCGCGCACTCCAAAATATCAAGGTAAACGACCTTAGCGATATTATTGTTTTGCAGTTGGCGTTGAGAAAATTAGACACTGAGACAGTACGTAATTTCGAACAAAAAACCGATTCTTCCAAACTACCTACATTCAATGATTTAGTAAATTTTATGCAAAATCAGTCAAAAATATTAACTCGTACGGCAGTAGCCACCTACACCGCCACCTGTTCGAAACAAACAATTGGAAATATTCGCTCGCGCTCTAATATTAAGAATAATAATAATTCGCCGCCAAACTATCAATCATATATTGTTAATTCTGTTGTGAACAGCGCCCGCGGTTCTCCGGCCTCCAAATGCATGTGTAGTAATTTCACACATCAACATTTATTTAAATGTTCAAACTTTAATAAATTATCTCCTTTGGAACGTTTTAAAGTGGCTAAAGATTTAAACGCATGTATAAACTGTCTTAGTACAGTACACAAAGTTTCGGCTTGTAATTCAAGTATGTGTTGCCGTGTGTGCAAATCGAAACATCACACACTATTGCATTTTTCCAACATAACAACGAATCCAGGCGCACCGGTGACGTCAGCCGACACAGCTGCATCGCTCACGCGCACACAGCCTACGTCGTTGACTAATACAGACGTAACGCTATGCGCTACGTCTAGTGATTCATTACATCGCTCCAGTAAGACACCGCGTGACTGTTTCGCTGATACTACGCAATGCACACCGCACACAACTATATTATTAGCGACCGCGCAAGTTTATTCTTATGACTTGTCTCATAACAAACACACCGTTCGTGTTCTGTTGGACACCGCTTCGCAAAGCCATTTTATAACTAAGCAATGTTGCGAGCGTTTAGGTATACAAACTAACGAAATAAAGCGAACGTTAATCAAAGGTTTTGGAGGTTCCGAGAATATCGTAAATAATTCCGCTAACTTTAAATTTTCTTCTCGGTTTAATGCAAATATAAATTTTAATGTAAGTTGTTTAATTGTTGAGAAAATCACTGAAAATTTACCTTCCGCTGTGGTTGACAAATCTTCGTTGCCACATTTTCTCAACTTGCCATTGGCAGACGAATCATTTTCGATACCTGACAAAATAGATGTTTTGATAGGCGCCTCGTTGTTTCCGCATTTATTATTAGCCGATGTACTCCACCACAACGGCTCGGCGCCCCCCGCGATTAATACAGTGTTGGGTTATATTATTATGGGTTCCGTACCCACCGCTTACCACCGCGCCGACGCGTCGTCACCGCTCACCTCGTGTTGTGCTATCACCGCTCCCGAATCTATAGAAATGACTTTAAAAAGGTTCTGGGAATTAGAAGAAGTACCTTCGCCGTCCATTCAACGTCCGGATGACGTTGAATGTGAAGAATTTTATTGTTCCACCACTGTAAGGGATCCTACCAGTGGCCGATACGTCGTGGCGTTACCTTTTCGTGAGGACGCTTATTCCCTCGGGAATTCCGAGTTCATCGCTCGCAAGCGATTTTTGTGTTTAGAGCGCAAGTTAGAAGCGTCTCCCAAATTGCGCACCGCTTATGATGCCGCTATCAATGAGTATATTGATAAACAATATTTATCTCCCGCTCGCGCGGAAGACCCCACTCTTCCGTCGTATATTATTCCGCACCACGGCGTAGCCCGTGATGACAAACCGCTGCGACCCGTGTTAGACGCGAGCTGTAAAACGTCGACTAATATTTCGCTCAACGATATTCTGCACGGTGGCCCTAATCTACAGGGCGAATTATTTCAAATTATTTTAAATTTTCGTCTACATGCTATAGCTATGAGTGCGGACTGTCGACAAATGTTTTTACAAATAATAATACGCGATTGCGATCGTCGCTTTCTAAAAATATTTTATCGATCTAATCCGCAAGAGCCTCTGATGCTTTATGAATTTAATCGAGTTTGTTTTGGTCTCAAGTCAAGCCCGTTTCACGCATTACGCTGCGTTCGTCAGTTAATTAGCGACCATGGGGATAAGTACCCCCTCGCGCGAGATATAGCTTCTCGGTCGTTGTATATGGACGACTTGGCCTACTCAAGCCCCAGTAGCGAACAAGCCATTGCGGCCAGTAAACAGCTGATCGATATGTTCAAGGAAGCTCAATGGGACTTAGTAAAATGGAACAGCAATTCAAATGCTGTACTAGACACCATTCCTGATACTCACAAGCTCACCACCGCCGTTGAGTTTGACAAGCACGCGCCTTCTAAAATACTTGGTCTATATTGGTGTAGGGACTCTGATGAATTCTATTTTAATGTATCGGTCCCCACCGATAACACTTGTACCAAAAGATCAATTTTATCCACCGTGGCGAGGTTGTGGGATATCACTGGTTTTATCGCACCGACTGTGTTGTACGCGAAACTTATCATAAAGCGCTTATGGCAACTAGGAGTCTATTGGGACGAAGCTCCCCCTTCGGAATTGGTCAAACAGTGGTTACAGTTCCGTTCCGAGCTTCTAGCTTTAAACGATATTCGCATCCCGCGTCACGTCGGCGTCGCTGGCAATTGCGTCATTTCCTTAATAGGATTTTCAGACGCAAGTGAAAGCGCGTATGGTGGTGTAGTGTACCTACGCGTAGAAACTAACAGAGGTGTCACAGTACGGTTGGTCTGCGCGAAGTCTAAGGTCGCACCAACTACCCCTCATACTATCGCTAGATTGGAGCTCTGTGGGATTGTGCTTCTCGCAAAATTAATGCGTACGGTCTTAAATAATTATGCCGCCACATTAAATATAAATATTTTCGCTTTTACCGATTCTAAGGTAGCGCTTTACTGGATAAAGAGTTTACCCCATCGTTGGCAGACATTCGTCGCAAATCGTGTCGTCAAAGTGACCGAAAATATTCCTGCCGAAAATTTCCATCACGTCGCCGGGTCCGAAAACCCCGCTGATTGTTTATCGCGTGGCCTAACGCCACAGAAACTAGTGAAGCATCCCCTCTGGTTTCATGGTCCACCGTGGCTATTGTCCGATTGTTCACTTTGGCCATTCAACGATGGAGATTTTCTAACTTCCGTCTCCGAAGTGCCGGAACAGAAGTTATGTGTTTATACCGCTACCGCCCCCGCTAGGGAGTCTGTAATTTACGCTCTTGCTCTTCGCAAATCATCATGGAGCAAACTCCTCCGTATAACAGTTTATATTTTTCGATTCGCGAGAAAGTTGCAACGCCGCGCATCCGCAACTATTACGGCGGCCGATTTGAGTTTCGCCGAAGTTCAAATTATTAAAGTGTTACAGCACGTGTATTTCGCTGACGAGATTTCAAAGCTTAAGAGTGCTGAACCTTGTTCACCCGCATTTAATAAACTTCACCCGTTCATTGAGAACGATGTAATTCGAGTAGGTGGTCGGCTTTCAAATTCTGCCCTTAAGTACGCTCAAAAATATCCATTTATATTACCGCGACACGATCATATAGTGCATTTAATCGTAGATTATTATCATCGTACATACCTGCATGCTGGGCCCGAACTGCTTATGTCTTTGCTCAGACAAAGATATTGGATCATGTCCGCCCGCCGCATTGTACGCCAGCGCATACATAAATGTAATCTTTGCTTCCGCGCCAAACCGCGACCTACCCTTCCATTAATGGCAGATTTGCCCGATTTCCGCGTTCGTCCCGTTATAAAGCCGTTCACGCATACGGGATGTGACTACGCCGGCCCCATCTCGTATACGCCAGTCCGCCGTAGAGGTGTTCGATCCGAAAAGGCATATATATGCGTGTTCACTTGCCTCACGACTCGCGCTGTTCATATTGAATTGGTAACCGACCTAAGCACTCCTACCTTTCTCGCAGCTTTTAAAAGGTTTTTATCTCGTCGCGGTCCCGTGAAATGCATGTACTCTGATAATGGTACGAATTTTGTCGGCGCGAATTCATATTTGAGAGATTTTTATCGATTTTTACGCAATCAAACCTCATATTTCGAAGATTTCTTTTCGGGGAATCAAATAGAATGGAGGTTCAACCCCCCTTCCGCTAGTCATTTTGGTGGATGTTGGGAGAGCATGGTGAAAGTGATAAAGAATCACCTTTATAAGGTAATAGGACAGCAACTCCTTTCTTATGAGGAATTGCTTACGGTTTTAACACAGATAGAATGTTTACTAAATTCGCGTCCACTTACCGTGTTAAGCTCGGATCCTTCGGAGCCTACGGCTTTGACTCCCAGCCATTTTTTAAATAATTTCCCTTTACCGTCACTACCCGCACCTGAGGTTACAGATAACGTTTCTCTACTTCAGAGACATTCTTTATTAGACAAGTTGGTACAGTCGTTCTGGAAGCGATGGAGTGTAGAATATCTCCACAGCCTTCAAGTTAGACAGAAGTGGAATACGCTCTCCGCTCCTATCACCCTCGGCGTGATAGTGGTCATAATAGTAGATAATGCGCCACCTCTCTCTTGGCCTCTGGCAGTAGTAGAAAAAATTCACCCTTCTAAGGATGGTATCGTGCGCGTAGCTACTGTCAGAACCCCTCGAGGAACGTATACATGCCCGGTTGTTCGTTTATGTCCTTTACCAACTCAATAACATATTTATCACAACTACACTTTACACTAAAATTAGAATAATAATTTAAGATTAAGTATAATATGTAGTTTAATGTATGTAAGTATATATATTTTAGTCAATTAGTAAATTCCGCTTAATTCGCTATAGCACAGGTAAGTGTTTAGATTATTGTTATTCTCGCCTTTATTATGATTGTTTTAAAGGTGACCCTTTAAGGGGGGGTGGATATGTTAACGCCATCTATCGTAAGCTTGCGAAAACACATTTACCTTATCCCTTCCTCTAAACTCACCTGTTGTCGACTTCGTCCGCGGCGCTGCCATCGCTGCAATTCGAACCAACGGACGAAAAAAGGGCAACGGACTGTGTGTGCTCTGATCGCCGAGAGGAGACACCAAGAAACTCCCACGACTGAGAAAAAACCGCGCTCCGGAGACGCTTTTCGCCTACACATATTTCCGCCCCGGGGCCCGCGAACATCCCGCGAACATTAGTGTAAAAAAGAAATAGTGGCGCGCCACAGGCGAACATTTCCAGGACAGGAAGCACAGGCGCCAAGGAACCAGCCCAACAAACCAACAGGTACCCCCTTTCCCACAGTTTCCCTCTAGTTTTTGTGTTTTCTTCTTGTATATAATCACACATCCGCGTCGGGAATTTGTTTTGTTTTGTGGCGTGACCACTCACATTGGTTAGCACGAATGCGCCAACCCGCATATATGGTACGATATTTGCGAATGCCTTCGCTAAGTTTTCACTACATTCGTGCTTTTCCAAGCTATGTCGGTTTTTTAGCGCACATCAAATACGCAAATTGCTTAGTCTCCCACACATCAGGGGCGTGCCTATGGCTTCAGAATAGGGTAAGGTACTTTCTTGACTTGGCGAGCTTAAAAAATTTACGATTTGTATAAGATTCTTAATTTTATTTTGTGTTATATTACAATGATATTAAATTTCAATTAATCAGTAGTTGACAATTATCTAGAAAGAGAGGCAAGGATTTTATTTAAGTGCATGAGTTAACTAAATTTAACATCAGTCTCTCCTTTTCATTCTGTATAGAGAATGACAAGGATACACCGTTGTCAAATTTAATTTTAGGTTTAGAGAATCATGCCAGAATCCACACCAGTTTAGTATATTTCTTGGGGTTCAAGATTATTTAATATATCTATAAGCCCTTGCGATTTCAAAGCAATAGTTATTTCGATACTATTCAATTTAGATAGTCATAGCAGGTAAATTAATTGATATTATTGTGTTCAAATTTAGTCTACGAAATATCGATATTTTGTTCTCGATATTATCGATATTCCGATATATCGTTGCAACCCTACATGTTAAGCCGTTGGTCTCGGCTGCATCTGCAATCGTTAGCATCGTGGTGCGCCAAATTCCATGCATAGGGAAGGCCTGTGCCCCAGCAGTGGGGACATTAATAGGCTGATGATGATGGGCATTTAAATCAAAAGAAAATTAGACTAGATTAGAGACTCGGTCCAGGTATCAGACAGGTGTGGATTATTTTCTAGTGAAATTTTCTTTAGCCTATTTATATAATATCAAGCAGATTAATGCTTAAAATAACAAATATGTCATTTAATTATATTCAGATTGTTTATTCATTACAATATTTCCTGTTAGATTACATTAGTAGGAATTTATTTAGATTTGTTGTTGCCCTCTAACCATATTTAACAGTTGTTACGAATTGTTTCGAAACATTTTAAAGATAATACCTACCAACCAAGCAACTTAAAAAAGCTATCATTTAACCATTTAACAAAGTAAACGCTTCAAAACATTTAGGATATAATACCATTACAAACTTATCAATCAATAGTATAATATAATTAAGTAAAATTTAAAATAACCGCTTTTTACTAAATGCATATGAATGTATAATACGGTTCATACACTAAAATATTTTTTAACAATGTTTGTTTGTCTGTCTGTTTGTTCCAGCTAATCTTTGAAATGGCTGGACCGATTTTGACGGGACTTGTTAGCGGGTACCTAGCTGGTGTAATAAGGAGTACCTAACTTATACTACTTTTATTTTAGAAAAAAAATAACGCGGACGAAGTCGTGGGCGGCCGCTAGTAAGATATAAAAGTCTCTGATTATGTCAGAGGAAATCGAAAAAAAAAACAACTTCAAATACCTATTAGTATTCATTCGTACGCACCCAGTCAGTATACTGTTTAGTACGTGCGATGAAATGGTCCATCCATCCGCCCAACCCCTTGCAGGTAGCCGGCGCGAGAGCACGCCACACCTGCGGCAGCTGCCCGTTGAACAGACTGTACGACACATTGTCTAACACCGCGTCCATGCCTATCTCGCCAGCCAACGCCTTGCGGAGCAATGAGAGTGTGGTGCGCATCTTGCTTATGAGGCGGTTGAATCTGAAGCATATCACAACTTACAGCTAAACCTACTCAAAAAATTAAATAAATGCTTCATTAGGACACTGGTTGTCTCATTCTATTATAACTGCTACATCATCATCAACTATGACAAACAAAAGAAAATTTTTACTTTTGGATACTGCAAAATAATAGGCATTATTTCTATTACCATAAATAAACAATAATGGTCAAAAAATGTGGAACGCTTCACGATTTTGCGTGTCATCCTTGCGCAGGGGCCATGCTAATCTTCTCTGTATCGTTCCAATTTTAGTATATGTACTGCCGAAGCAAGTACATTTATGTTGTACAAATTTTTCTATATATACTCAACACACAAAAAAACTTTATAAGCGCGTTTCAGATTCTACTTCCTACTACAAAAACACGAAACTGCGCCATCTATCGATGTATGTTCACATTACATTTTTGTATAACTTCAGTGTTTTTTTTCTACAATAAAATGGAGCTTTCAAATATTGCATTATTATTGTTTTAAATAGATTTGCTTATTTATTAATAGAACACGATCAATTTATTCTTGAGCTATTTAGCGTTGTGAGCTTACTAGTAGTATCGTTTATCCTGCCATCTAGCAATATACGTCGACAAAATGCTGGAACTCACGCCACGCAACCACAGACAGGCATTAACAAATAGTTAGTTCCTTAAACGTGCGCTAGATGTCAAGATACTTACATAAAATACCTAGTTTGATTCTGTTTTATTTTGATACCGAAATGGCCTTTCTGCCCCTCTAGCATGAACACCGCGATATGATATATACTATGGAGTTTGACAGTTAGACGCGATAAAAAACGTGATATAATGTAAATTGTGATGCTCATGCTACGGGGACTGGTCTCAATCAAACTGGAACGGATATTAGAACTCATTTAGCTCGGTTTAAAATTGGTTACTGGTGGCTTTTTACTTCTAACGCCGCCGCTCCTTTTTTTAAGTCAATTAAATAATTTTCTTTTTTGCTTATATGTTTATCATTATAGTATGTTTTAGAAAACTGTAATAATTTATTATTACTTACATTATGTTTGTTACATATTTTTTTATGATACTCAGGATTGCGACTTTTTATTTATGATAACGTCTGTGTATCATTATAATTATTATGAATAATGCAATGATTCTATGTAAACTTTTTGACTAAAATTACGTTATTACCCGTTATCGATAAATTTTAATGAAATGGAAATAATTTAGAAAAATAATATTAAATACAGAGCACTGTCTTCAACATAATATTGTACCTGTGTTTTGAAGGACTTCAAGACACCGGTTACTACGTACCGCTAGATGGCGTTAACACAAATTTATTGTTCACCATACAAACGTAAAACGCGCTTACAAAGTTAATAAGTAAGTTGAATATATATACAAAAAAATTGTAATAGTTAAATGTACTTGCTTCGGCAGTACATATACTAAAATTGGAACGATACAGAGAAGATTAGCATGGCCCCTGCGCAAGGATGACACGCAAAATCGTGAAGCGTTCCACATTTTTTGGCTATTCTGGTTTGAAATATCAGTAATTACCTACAGCATGGCATGATTAAATGATTGAATTTCATTAATTTCAATTATTTGCTCCTGTTCAAAATAAAAAAAAACTATTTTAAAAACGCAAACCTACAATTTCAATTAAAAAAGTACTACGTTACCATTCTTTACTTGATACTCGCCCTTTAGGGAGTATTAAAATCTCAAAGGGTTTAGGGTTTATTTAGGGTAACTGAATTGAATGTAGGTAAACAATACGTTGTTGCATAGGATAGCATGTATTTATAGTAGGCATACTTTAGCTGTTAGTATAGTATTCACTGACCTCTCTAATTCCTGCAGCAGCACCACAAGAGTGGGGGTGATGTTCATCTCGAACTGTTTGCGCACGCGCCAGATCTCGTATAAGGAAGGCAGTTTGCTCAGCACGTCTACGGCAATCGAGTCTATGAAGTCGTCACGACTCATCGCGCCGCCGGCGTCACCTATTAACGTTCAATGACGGTAAGAACAGTATTTTTCTAAAGAAAAATGGGCAAAAACAACATCCAGATCCGCCAACAATGTAATTAGTATGAATCGAAAGATCTGTGAAAAACTTGCTATTTTTATTATGACACCGTAAAAAATATCCTGGTAATCAAAAGATATGACACATGGGTCTAATTAAGTAGCTAAATTAATTTATTTAATAGCACTTCATTTTATATTATTAGTAACCATAATAATGTGTCATATCGTACTATACAATCAGATATACGACATTGCCTGCCGACCATCCTACGCTTGCACTTGCTGGAAACGTCAAAACGGTTTACGGGGTAGGGGTACGGGGGTTGAAGGACTTGCAGTTGTAACTAGTTGACTCATTTGCAGTTTTTCTTCTTAGTTCGTGGTGATTGTGCGCTCTCTGTCACTTAATTGATTTTTAACTAAAACGCTTTGGACATTGTACTATCGCGGAATTTTGCGCTCTGAACAAATGCTTTGAACGGTTTTCTACAGTAGTTTTTACTACGCCCCGACAGAGAGCATTTCATTGATTGAATAATGAATTGAATTGCATTTGTTTTAGTTGCAATTTGTCATCCGCATCGTGATCGCGACAGCGCTATACGAAAAAGTAAGACAGCGATAAAAACATACTATGAATGAATTTTTACTACGCCGCTACCGCAAGCGATTATGGCATTATGTGACAGAGCGGAACTTTCCGCGAGTGTACATGATTATTGGTTTTGTGAACTAGCATGGATGAATTGGAATCATGTTTTCTCCGAGGCGTGGACAAGACAAGTTACGTTGAAGACAATTTACTATGAAGAACAGACTGTTTGTAAAAATCTAACCCAAGCGGGGATTTTTGGATTTACTCTAGCACGACAGAATAATATAAGGGGGCATCATTGCGCCTTGTGAAGTACTCCCATAATACCTGAGCCCTCTGTGTAGGGTCGAACTAACTAAATAAACTCCCTTGTTTTACTAACGTTCGTTCGTTATAGTACTTGGTACCTATTTAACTTAAAATAACGAAAGATCACGGGATGAAATTTGATGCGCTTTGGCACAGACGATCATGACTATAATACCTTTCAAACAGATGTAGATTAAGCCTTGGCGTATGTGGGTGCAGCATACATACATTTTTGCCCAATGTCAAAGGTAAAAAAATAGGGTGCTATTTTTATCAAAACGGTAAGTTTTGCCTCAGACAAAAATTGTAGACCATAAAATTATCTGAAAAAAAAAGTAACAATGTTTTTTTTAAGAGTCACCGTTCCTGAGATATAACGATTCAAAAGTTGTTGAGGACACCTACTATTGCACGAGTTGCCTACACTATTATGCAACGCAAAATTTAAGTTTCTAGGTACTAGTAGTTACTAGGGTAAAAATTATAGTGTACATATTATAGTTTAGAAAATTTTAAAGTAAATATTTTTATATTACGCAAAATTGTCTTAACTTACCTTCACACTTCACTGAGAAGCAATAAATGAAAAGAATTGTTTAAGAAACATTGGTAGACAAATATTATGAATGACAAAACATTGAGCTGCATTAATAAATATAAATACATACCCTCTTGTTTCATAACTAGCAGCGTGAAATTAATTAAAATACATTTTTAGTAAAGGCCAATAAGTACAGATATATTATTGGGATTAAAAAATTAGGTACAATCAACAAATAATGCATTGCTTGGATAATTTCAAAAACTTGGTACGAGATTATTACAAAACGTTGACTAAAGTTAAAAACCTGGTCTGACAATTCGTACCCTCAGGGCAAGGACGTATAAAAAAAGGCGGACAGAATTTCGGCTAAGACAAAAGTGAGGCACCGTAATGGCGGCGGTTATCTATGAGTGAGTGAATGCAGGGTTGCTAGGTTAGCCAATTTTTTACCAATAAAACACAGTAAAAAGATCAAAATATTTTAATTGTTCAAAATTTTACCCGACTGCGGTGGATAATGTTTTTCGAGCGTGTATGCATGTATGTATGCCCAATAATAAGGCGCCAAAATGAAACCTTTAGAAAAAAAATGCTTATAACCCGTCAAGCGAGGTATCAAAGTAAAGGGTCTTAAAAGAATGCAGTGGATCCCCGGTAGTCCGACAAACATTTTGCAGGGCAGTGTCGAACTATCGAATTTGTCGGATTATAGAGTACTGCCTAAGACCCCCTATAGTCCGATTTTTTTTACAAAAGAGTACCTTGTAATCCGACAAATTACAGATGCAATGATAAGATTACAAAACATACTTTGTTATGTATGTCAAATTTAGTAAATTAAACAACACAATAGAAAGATTATGTTTTATTATAAAAGTAACGTCAAATGCTATAGAATTTACAAAAAAATATAAAAAACAATACCCTACGCGTCGAGCACAATTGTGATGGTGCGTACAAGTTGTAACTTGTTCAATAGTGAATTAGCGGATACTTGTATGTAATAGACGATGTCGGATTATAGGGGGTGCCGCATTAGCCAGGGGCCGGATTACCGGGGCTCCACTGTATTTAGAAAATAGGTATGCAAATCGTGTACTTAAAAAAAAATCGTGTTGCACTCGGGGACTGCCGCGGTAAAGCTATTGCATAGAATTATTTGTCAACTTATGCAATAATACTATTTATTTATGCAATATTTTTTTTCTTTGATATTAATTCAAGTTTTTTCTCTGATATTAATAGATGGCGAGGCAGGCCTTATGATATTTTATTGGGCAAGCACAGCAAACAACAGCATTGCCCGGCGCCAAAAAACTTCCACATGCTCCACAGTTTACCACCTTAGGTCCAAAAATTATAATTATAAAGTCTAAATAAAAGGGAGACAAATAAAAATAAGAACAGGTGCTGGGGTCTAAAACAAATATATAAAAAATGGAAAAAAATATAATAAAAAATAAAACACGAGTGCGGGATTTGAAGCGACGACCGCGGTGATGCGTCGAACGTTGGTCCCGTGGCAAAAATTTAACACACTGCACCGTTTCGATCGATACTGGAAAGGCGAAAATTGTGTTCATACGCACTGTTTTTAAGTTGGCATTGATCGAAATGTTTTGTTTAAATATTATCGTTAGTAATATTATTTATCGTTGAAAATATTTTAAAACTTTTGTTTCATTGTAGGTTTTTTTAAATAATCAAAGTTAATTCAAACTATTATATATAACAAATATTGACTTTTTTTATATTCCACTTTTTTTTCAACACTGAACTTAGCGCACTTTGCTGGTGCATTTGAAAACTAATTCACGTTCCAATTAATCATCAGCATAATTCGGCATTGGTAGCCACTGAGTCGCATTATGCTCTGTAATTGGAAAACTAACATGAAGTCTGTTTTTATTTTTGTATGAAAAAGTTTATATTTTCCACTTTTCATAAGCCAGAGTAAATCACCTAAATATGCCTGGCCAGGCCTGCATTATTTTTTATATTTCTTAAATTAACAAAACATGCATTGAGTACTGTTTGTAATTGAGGAGTTCCATTGTTTACCTCCGAAAATACTCATCAGCTCTGCACTTAATTAATACAGCCATCTCGCTAATAAACTGATTCAAACAAAAAAATAATCATCAAAATCGGTCCACGAATCTCGGAGATATGCACGAACAACAATTAAAAAAAAATAACAAATATGACGTATAGAACCTCTTTCTTTTTGAAGTCGGTTAAAATTTTTAATTTACCTTTTGAGGTACTGCATGCGTAACAACACGCCGGAGTCCTCTTTTAGTAGTATATAAGTCTCCAGCTTCAAAATGGATACTGCAAATGACACTATATTTATTTGGAATCCATTCATCATCTCCGTTACAATTCCTAATAACTTGGATCCAGTCATTTCTCCATTCTACATTTTCTTTAGGGAATCTGATAAAAAAGAATAACAAATAATAGATTGAAGCTAATGTCACCCCAATTTCCCATATTTTAGGTAATATGGTTACGTGAACATTGACAACACTGGACTTTAGATTAATTATTTTGTGCTTAGAATGAAAATTGATTTCGATTTCTAAAAACTAGAAAAAAGTGATTATATTGTTCATTTACCTATGAAACGTGATTCCTGGTTTTTTTTTCTTTCGTTCACTACGGTTTTTACACCATTTTACCACGCAAGACATCTTGTTTTAACTTATTTTTATCTCCACTTAACGTATCGGCTGCTTTGACGTTTGCACGCGTAATGGCTGACTATGGTGTGAATGTGTGTGTGCCGGCTTGTACATATAGCGACCTGGCCGACTCTGAGCGACACAGTTTGTTGTCCGCCTTTTTTTATACGTCCATGCCTCAGGGGAAAAAAGGCATAAGACGGAAATGCTGATTTTTCAGTATGGCGAAAAAACTGAATTTATGGGCATATTTACTTTGTTTTCAAACGTAGAAGAATTATTCTTAAATCAAAAAAAAGAAAAAAAAATGTTGCACTGCATGTTGTATTTAAGTTAGTACTAATGTTTATAGTTTATTAGGAATTGTAAAAATAAATTATTATGCTATTTTTCAGAATGTAATAAAATAAAGGATTCTGAGTATCAAAATTTATGCCAGACTTTGCCAGAAAAGTAAAATGTATTTCAAAACGTATGTTGTATTATAGCAGTAATGAACTTGTATATACGAACACTTATGCTGGTATAAGTAAGATTACTGCATTATTTCCTTTATTAAAATTATGTTTGAAATGTATAAGCAATACTTACCCCTTTTTTCAATTTAAGGGCTTATTAAGATAACTTAAGTAAACAATAATAATAACTTATTCCATTATATATTATAGAATATTTAGCTGCATATTAACACATATTATTTAGGGTTATTATTTATGACTATAGGGAAAAAAGGAAATGTTTTTTTTGTATTCGCTATTTTGTTATTTCAGACAAAAGACTAATTGTAGTTTTGTTTACAATTAAAGTTCGTACTATAAACAATACAATTGCACAATA